GAGGTTCGAGTGCCTATGAAAGCGCCATTCCGGCGTTGCTTTTCTACCAGTTGTATACCGCTCGGCTACAGCGGTTGAGACTTTTTCGATGGTCTTCATACATATACCTGGCAAGCTTTCGTCGTCACTCCTTTGTTCCCTCGGATCTTCAACATGTTCACCGCCTGCCGGGAAGTGTCATCATTTCCATACCTCGTCGGTACTTCAGTGAAGCTGAATCATGGGGTATCATTTCTATTTCATTCTTAACTCAGCCACTTCTCGGCCTTGTTGGGTATCAATCTTCTAAGCACATCAATCTGCCGCGCCTGCGCCTTGTGTCTCAAGTCTGCGACTCCTCGCCTGTCCGTCCGTCTTTGCCCATTCGAATAGACCACTGTGAAATCCGGAACCTTTTCGCCAGGCTTAATGACAGTCAAAGGCGAGATCGTGCAGTTCTGCAGTAATTAGTTGGCATCCCAGCTGGTCTGACGGAAAGATGGCACCAACCTTGCCAATGACAGCGCCATTTCCGATCCGAGATCGGACTCCAATCACCGTATCTGTTCCGATATCTGTGCCTCCAGCTTCAATGATGGCGCCAACCTCTACCGTCACGTAGTCTCCAAGCGAGATGCCTCCGCTGGCGTCGTCATTACCAACTTTGCCAATATGAGCCCGCTCGAGGATGATGCATCTCCGACCGATGAGGATGCTGCCGTTCGTGGTCTCGAGCTTCGATCGTGGGTGCAAAACGCTTTCTGACTGGATCGTGATCGAGTGTGTTCCGACGAGAATGGCGCTATCGGCAACGGTGAGAGATGACGAGAAGCTGACGGGAGGTCGTGGGCCTTGGTTGGAGACGGCCGGCAGCATAGAATGCCGCTTATTAGACGACATTGTAGTACGTGTCCTGGATTGCTCCGACCCAATGTAAGTCCTAGCCAAATGGTGTAAGGTGCATTATTTATTGGTGACGCCTGTAACAAAACCAGGCTCACATGGAAGACCGAGATGCGACGCGCAACGGTACTAGTGATGGGGTAGCTTGCCGTGGGGCAGTAGAGTCCGACGTCGATTCTCTGGAGCTGCCCCAGCGCATAACCCCGGTTAATGCATCCGCGCTCACACGTGACCTTGTCGCTGACTAAATGACCCGCATTGGCCAATCAACGCCAGTTGGAAATAAGCATCATCGATTTGGTGCAATTGAGCTGGTGTTCCACGACTACGAATTCCTCTGATCGACAACCTTCATCCACCACCAGACACCCCCCCAAACGCCCACGATGGCCACTCCACGGCGGTTGCCCGCGCAGGCCGCTCAGGCTGCGCGAAACTTTGCGACAGTACGAACCTATGGCGGACTCAAGGATCAGGACCGTATTTTCCAGAATCTCTACGGCCGGTTGCCCCCGACGCTGGCTTCCGCGAAGAAGTTGGGTGATTGGCACAAGACGAAGGAGATCATTCTCAAGGGACACGACTGGATTATCAGCGAGGTCAAGGCCTCTGGTCTCCGTGGACGTGGAGGTGCCGGTTTCCCTTCAGGATTGAAATGGGTAGGTTGCCTCCTGGCGATTTTCCTGGGCTATTGCCGCGGCAATCAAGGGAAGGGGCGGAACAACGGGCTAACGTAATGGCAATCGCGCAGTCATTCATGAACTTCAAGGACTGGGACAAAGACGACAAGCCGAGATATTTGGTTGTCAACGCCGATGAGGGCGAGCCCGGAACCTGCAAGGACCGCGAGATTATGCGAAAGGACCCCCACAAGCTTATCGAGGGCTGCCTCGTCGCCGGCAGAGCGATGAACGCCACCGCCGCCTACATCTACATCCGCGGCGAGTTCGTTCACGAAGCTGCCGTTCTCCAGAACGCCATCAACGAGGCATACAAGGATGGATTGATTGGCAAGAACGCCTGCAACTCCGGATACGACTTCGATGTCTTCATCCACCGTGGTGCCGGTGCCTACGTCTGTGGTGAGGAGACCTCCCTCATCGAGTCCCTCGAGGGCAAGCCCGGAAAGCCCCGCCTCAAGCCTCCTTTCCCTGCCGCTGTCGGTCTTTTCGGATGCCCTTCCACCGTCGCCAACGTCGAGACTATCGCTGTCGCCCCCACCATCTGCAGACGCGGTGGCAACTGGTTTGCCGGCTTTGGCCGTGAGCGTAACCAGGGCACCAAGCTCTTCTGCATTTCCGGCCACGTCAACAACCCCGTCACCGTCGAGGAGGAGATGTCGATACCCCTGCGCGAGCTTATCGACAAGCACTGCGGCGGTGTCCGTGGCGGCTGGGACAACCTTTTGGCCGTCATTCCCGGTGGCTCTTCCACCCCCATTCTGCCCAAGAGCATCTGCGACAACCAACTTATGGACTTTGACGGTCTCAAGGACAGCCAGTCCGGTCTCGGTACTGCCGCTGTCATTGTCATGGACAAGAGCACCGACGTTGTCCGCGCCATTAGCCGTCTCTCTCACTTCTACGCCCACGAGTCTTGCGGTCAATGCACACCCTGCAGAGAGGGTAGCAAGTGGACCGACCAGATCATGAAGCGTTTCGAGAAGGGCCAGGGCCGGCCACGCGAGATCGACATGCTTCAGGAGCTCACGAAGCAAGTCGAGGGTCACACCATTTGCGGTATGTATTCGTCCATGACGTCAACGATTCCCATTGCTAATAATTCTTTGTCTAGCTCTTGGTGAGGCTTTCGCCTGGCCCCTTCAGGGTCTTATTAGACATTTCCGCCCCGAGCTTGAGAAGAGGATGGAGGAGTACGCCGCGCTGAACGGCGGTGCTAACGCTCTGGGTGGTGGTTGGGAGCCGACTGCCCGCTCTCAGGGCAAGCTGGTTTCACCGGGACAGTAAAGGGCCGAATTTTTTGCATGCTTGTAGACTGGCGCCCGAGGGCTTGTATATATTAGTAGTACATTAGCTGAGCCCTAAATGCGCTGGAGTTCATTTGTTCACGACTATTCAACTTATACACACTGTTGCTCAGATGACATCGTGAATACGCCAGTAGAAGAGGCGAACTGACGGAAGGCATTCTCCATAATGAATTGACATACTCAACTACTCTACTCCGATGTGTCGTTGAATCATGTACCAGAGTCTATGAATCATACACGTCAATTCTTCAAGCCACTCCATCGGCGTTAAGCCTTAATTATTTCGTCCAATAAGGCCACTGTATTTCTCATCTCTTCATGCAACGCCGCAAGCATGCCAGGGGTCTTCGACTCGGCCCACAGATCCGGACAGCTCGGGACTCGGCTGGCTGGACCACCGGCCAAAGAAACTCTTCCGAAGAACGGCGGGCGGGGCTTTCTCTAAACCACCATCCCCGATTTCTTTGACCGCCCCCGTTTGCCCACGACAACTCCCTCGGCCAGTTGGAGGTTGTGCTCGGTGTGTTCCTGGAATATTCTTATTGGGATTTTTTATTAGAGCGAATTTGGGTTTCGATTTTGTTTTCTTGCCTATCTGTCCTTTGGCGAGGAAAGCATCGCTGAGATGACTTCCTTCACATTTGACCAGTTTGTCGCCTTTGGGTCTGACAGTGGTGAGTACTATTCTCGGTTTAGCACTCTCATAAGCTGCATGTTTGATTTGTTGGATTCGGCCTATCTTATTGCCTCAATTCCGCCTCGATCACCGCCTGAGATGACGATGCCGCTCACTCACCCCCTCGAGGCCGCTCATCGCCCACCCTCTCACTCACCCTCACTCTCATAAAAAGCTGACACGTAAAACTCAAGCCGGTCTCGAACGTATCCTCCGCGGCCTTCAAGCTCTCACCGCAATCTTCTCAGCATACCCATCCCTCGTGGCCCTCGCCCTCATAGACGCAGACCCGCCATTCCTCGAAGCTCTAGGCCCGCTACGAGGCCACCTCAACCTCACGCGCCGCTTCATCCGCTTCTTTTGGTTCCTCAACTCCTTTGGCACGTCGTACAATCTGTACACCGCCATCTCCTCATCGCCATCGCCATCGTCTTCTTCAGGTGGCTCCAAGAAGAGGCAGGGCGCGGGGCTGGAGACGTGGCTCGACATCATCAAGTTCACCCTCCTCGGCCTCTACGGCGGCCTCGAGTCCCTCACCCTCCCGGACCTCCTCGGCGTCCCGCAGATCGCCTACTTTGGCGCCGAGCGCACGCGGGCGCTGAATGTCGAGGCTCAGCGGTTCTGGCTTCTTGCGTTAGCGGCAGGCGTCTTTGCGAATGTGACGCGCGTGCTCAAGGCTTTTGCGTACACGCCGGTACCGCAGCATGGGCACGGGTACGGCACGGGGGAGAAGCCGGGTGAGGGGAAGAAGAAGGAGGCTGCTGCTGTTGAGGGAGGTGCTGAGAAGGAAGCTGCTGCTGTCTCTGACGAAAAGAATAGCGACGAGGGAGTAGAGGACGAGAAGCTTGATTGGGAGGCTGAGCGGACTCGTCTCCGGGCTATTGTCATGAAGAGGCGGGAGGATAGGAAGCGGTGGCGGAGGGAGGTCGCGGTAAAGGTCAAGAGCCTGGGGCGCAAGATCTTTTCCGACTCGTTGGATTGCCTCATCCCGGGCGTGATTCTGGGTTGGGTTAATGTTCAGCCGGGGACTGTTGGGATTGCCATGCTCATCACTACCGTCTTGAGCAGCAGAGATATTTGGGATAGATGTGGCACTACTGTTAGTCAGAGAAGGAGCACTTGATGGAATCTTGGACTGGGGTTTGTTTCCTCGCGCATGAGATGGGTAAAAGGGATGTGACGATTGAAGTCTCCCCATTCAAGAGGTTCTGCATTTATATTCATATAGATTCATAGACGGACATGGGATTACATCCTGCATGATGCCAAACCAGATTTCAAAGCATACTCTTCATACAAACTCCAGGCCAGTCTTCGTCCATAGTGTCACCATGTCTATTGTATCATTCTCCTTTGTACACCACTAAAGGCCATGGTAAATGACCAAGGTCATGAGCTTCTCATTTGAGATTTGAGATTTGAGCTCCTTTTTGGGGGGGGGGAGTCTACCGTTTACTCGGCAGAGACAGACATGGGGGCGTGCCTCTGCTCCGGAGCTTGGGGAAGTCGGATGCGGTACTTGTGCGAGCCTTGATCGTCCTCGTCGTCCTCGTCCCACAGGACCTGAACCTTGGCACGCCTCAAGATGGAGAACTGCTGGGCGATTGCGATGACAGCCTCAAGCACACTATGTTTTCTGCTTGTTAGTAACGACTCCAAACAAGATCCAAAACTTTGGACAAGCTGACTTACCCAACAATGATGGCAACAACCGCAATGCCAACGTGGTCCTCGTAACGCCAGCAGTACGGTTCACCAGCGGCAATCACACCAGACGTGAAAGAAATTGCCGCAAATGTAATATCTAAAGCAGTATACAGCCATCCCAAAGCCTTCCTCTTCTTCTTGTCATCGCCGTCGAACCACCCGCGCATCCCACCATGGCTCTCCTCGTCGTCGTCAGCACCACCATCACCGCGACGTCCACGGCGGCCAAAGATGCACTTGACGCATCCGAGGTCGACGACGACGGGCTTGTTCCGGTTACCCCGTCCGTGCCCGCCCTGCGCCAACAGCGCGAACGTGAGCCATAGCAGCTGCAGCGTAGCCAGGAATATGAAGACCTTGGAGAGGCTTTCGTACCGCCTCCGGCCGTCCCACTCGAGGATGACGAGGGTGAGGCTGAGAGCGACGGCGATGAAGCGCAGGAGGGCGACGGAGTTGATGATAAATTTTAGAAAGATCAAGGGCGAGTACGTGCCCGAGCCGCCGTTGTGAGATGAGGCGGACGAGTGGTGGGACGTAGGGGTCAGGGGGCGGAAGACGACGTTGGGGTTCAACGGTCTGTTTTCCGGTGGGGAGGAGGCCATTGTTTTGAGGGAGCCCAGGAATTTGGTCGAGGGGAGGTCGTATATGATGTCGTGGGGTGGGTAGTGGTATGTGTTGTCTGTGTATGACAGTGCTTGCTTATCCGAGTAGACAGGCATCGAGAGGTTTCATCCGACGGTGGGTGGAGAGGAAGAGGTTATTATATACGAGACTGAGTCGTGCCCCATCTCATGAATGGAAAGAGGCAGTAGGCAAGCAATATTGTGTGTGTGTGTGTGTGTGTATAGTGAAAAGTGAGAGAGATACTTTTGGTTCAGTGTGGTTGTTTACGAGGGAAGAGGAGACCAGAATCAGAACCAGACCACACACTGAGACCCATATTCCCGAGAGAGAGAGAGTAAGAGGACACCCGTCAAACGTGAGTGCGCCTTGGGATTCTCACGCGCATCCAGCTTGGCTCCCATCCCTTAAGCCAACAGACGCTCCCCCCTTCTGCACCCTTCACCAATGGCAACAAAGGGTCCCGAGAGCCGCGGAGGCGCCCCCAGCTTCGCCATACGGGATCTCCAAGTAATTCATCCACTGACGTTGTCCGGAATTCGGGTGCCTGGAGGTCCACTTTGACATAGTGACACACCAACATCAAACTACCCTCGCCTCACGAGGGGAAGCTTATAATTGGCCGGCCGGACGAATTGGGTATAAAGAAACGCCCAGTGGCGGTGCGATTCGGACTTTTTTCTTGGAGGAGGATTTACATGTATCCATTGTTTTGGTATCGTTGCTGTCTGGTTTAGGCTTTGATGTGGGTACGGTTACGGTGGTGATCGTCGCGAATCTTACCAAAGTCCCGTTCTTGGGGTGTTGAGCACGCTGAGGTACGCGTAGGCTAGTGGCTTACTGGAGGAACGTGGAAAGGGATTGTATTAGCCTCAATCAAGTCTCGTCAGATCATGAGTTCGTGGAAACATATTTGAATATGTTGCTGTGGTGCTGGTCAATTCAATCGTGTTGGCATTACATCCCAACTACTAGATATTGAACATCACTTGTAAGCCTGGCCTATGTTTCTCCGACAAGTCAATAAGAAACTCATCGCCGCATCTTATTCTGCCGGGTACTTGAATTATTCGCCATTAACAGGCATAGATAGTCTCAGACTGTATATACAAAGGTCTCTATTCTATCGCTGTCAAAATTACCCAAGGGATATCTTTTTCGCCCCGGATCCGTCCAATGATACTCGCTCTCTTGAACGCCCAATTTATAATGCTAACCAAGATATGCTATCAGTCCGGCCAATGCTCCACCATTCAGACTTTGAACACAGCAGTACCGGGCGACGGCTATGCAGGTTTCAGGACAGTTGCTTAATGCTGGTGCCTGCTCGGAAGCATCCGAGGCTCTCGAAGTCGGGTCCAGACTTGCCAAGTTGACGCAAGCAAGCGCCATTCCTTCCAACAACAACCACCTCCTCGTCTGTCAGTCTAGCTGATTCAACGACGACCCGTCACACGATAGCTCCCAGTCTCGATCGATACTTTCCACCCGTCGTTAACGAGAGCGGCAATAACGCCCTGTCTCAATCGCGACACGCCTCCGGCACTATGGAGGCCGCGGCCTGTGACGATCGTGAAGCCTTCGGCCGCCTTTCTTGCTCGGTACTCGCCGAGACCATTCCACCAGTCCCAAACGCGTTCACGAGCGATTCGGACACCGTCCGCAACTTCAACGCCGTGAAGATCGATCGACTTTCCTGAACTAGTGCTGGAAACGTGTATATCGGCCGCGACACTCTTCGCCTTGGCGAAACTGCGCGCCTCCTCACGTCCCCGATCTGCATAGTATCCTGCTGCCTGCCTGTACAAATGTCCCTTTTTGTACACTTGGCCGGCAGTCGTATAAGAGTGGCTGCTGGCCTCACGGTACATGCCAGCTGTGTCCATGGCCTGCTGATAAGTGCGGGGTCCCGACGAGGGGCTGTTCAGGAGAACCGGGCTGTTAAGGGGGCGCCCAATGGGTGACATGAGTGACGTCTTTGGCGAGGCAACCTTTTGCCAGCCATCCGACGACCCCTCCAGCTCTTCCGTCACCAAGGGCGCGAGCTTGTAGTTTATGTCCAGGCGTTTGGCGGGCAACTTGCCATAGTAACGATTCAGCAACGTAGCAACCTCCTCCGTCCACTGATGGTCGCTACGTGTGACTTCATTGAGAGGAGATAGGTACTGCTCGGGGATGTGCCGAAATTGCTTCTTCAGTTCCTGGACGTACTGCTTCCGGTGCTCATCCTCGCCGGTCCAAGCACCAACACCTTGCTTGACAAAACGATCGAGGAGCTCTATGATGGTGAGTTCCGTTGAACCTTTCTGGGCATCAAAGACGTCCGAGACTTCATCGAATGGCAGATCCAGCTTCTCCACGATGAAAAGGATCTTCTCCACCCCTAGACGATGTCAGTTGATGCCTTCTGTAGTCATATCGCTTTACTCACGTTCATTTTCATCAATGACAGGCGGAGTTTCATTGATGCTGCTCGAGCTAGACGACAGGTCCGTACGAAGATCTTTCCGCTTCTTCCCTTTCGCCTTCTTCTTCCCGGACGCCTTTTGAGGCAGCCCTGAGTCCGCGAAGCCGTCGATGCCCTTTGGCCTTTCGCCGATGGACTCAAGATACTGAATGTTCAGCAAGGTCTCCAGAGCGGCCTGGAAGTCACCCTTGGCTTTCTTGAGCGCGAAGCTCACATCATGAGGCTTCAGGTCCGAAAACATATCCTGCAGCTGCAAGAGTTTCTCTTGGTCTGAGTCGCCGTCAAATGTTGCGATACGGGGAACGTCATAATCCGGTTCAGACGGAGGCGGACTCGTCAGCCTGGTCCCAGAGGAATCCGAGTCCCTCGGCTGCGGCCCTTCCGAGACCGTGGAGCTGTCTCGTGCATCAACTCCCCCGTCAACGGAGCTGATGGTGTCCGGGACACCGCTAGCATTGAAACCGCTCGCCTCTTCGACAAGCACATTCTGGGCTATGCTCTGCAGCATCCCGCGAACGTCGGCGAGCTGGCTTGCATCTTTAAGATCTATTTCGCTCGCAATTGCGATAACGACAGTAGGATCTAGCAGGGGAAACTCCGCCTGCATGAACGTCATTAGCATGCAATTTGTCTCCCAAAACCCCCCAATGGCTTCCGCCCGCGACTTTTCCATGCCGCCTCTTCTTCTCTCAAGAATCGTGATATTCTCATGAAAAATCAAGGGGAAATGCAGAAGTACTATCGAGCGCAGAGTCACTCACCACTAAGTCGTCTAGTGTTGGTGTAGCCATTGATCAAGTGGAAACCTTCAGGGTTCGAGATATCGTTGTGAAATAGTCCAAAGCTCACTAGTCATGCTGGAAGGGAAAGCTGCACAAAGGTATTTTGCTACCGAGTCTCTGGTCGTGAAAACAACCAGAATGCCGAGCCGATCAAGTGATTCAGACAAACAACAACAGTTGCAACCAAGAACCGAAATTATTTGTGTAGCGACAGTCGAATGCGCGGGTAGCCGCGTAGCAGGTAAAACGAGCAGACGACACAATGGTAGTGATGACGCAGGCGGGGCTGGTTCTGGTGGTGGTGGTGGGTGTTGGTTTTTGCAAAGGAGTCTTTGGCGCTAGAGTGCTCAAATGCTAACGAGTGCTCGATGAATCATGTGCTCGCCAGTCTAAAGTGCGCATGTCCTAGTCCAAGTCTTGTCAAAAAGCAAATCAATGACTCTGATCATGTCTGTCATCCGCCGGGCTAGGGTCGACCGCGCCTCATGTTGAAAAGACGTTGCTTGTCTTTTCCGGACGGAATGTGGCTTTGCGGCTGAGGTCATCCATGGCACGTGCACGGCTGAAGAAGATGTGGCTGACTCGTGGCTGAGGAAAGCGGAAGTGAAATATCGGGTCATGTGGCTGGTGCACTTCAGAGGTACTCCATCCGGGTACCCCACCATCCTCGGACATTCGGTGCAGCGAACATCCTCGATACGTACCTCCACAGATGACTTCATCCCCTTCGAACCGTGGCACGACATCAGTGGCCCGTCTTTGGGATAAGCACGAGCTAGCGGTTCTCTTCCCGAGGCCGGATCGCTGCAACTTTCATCAACTAAAAGGCGTCAACGGGGTCCGGTTGGCTCCGGCTTGATCAGCTCCCAGGAACGGCACTCCGCGGAGGAGCAGGATGCTCCATAGCTGCGTCAATCAAGCTAGCGGCTAATGTATTACTCGGCATCTCTGGCACCTGGAGGTGGAAAGCGGGATGCGATGCTCCATCCTTGTTTCACGGCTCGCGTGGTTGACTGAGGCGCCTCTTGTGTTACCGCATGAAAACCTGCTGATATGCCATCAGCTATTGTACAAAGACGATAGGACAGGGTGGTGCTGTCGTGTATTCGTCAGTCAGATAGGGGAAAAACAAGCTCAGTCATGTCGCTGCTCCCAATCGACATTTCTATCAAAAGCTAGCCCACCTGCATTAGCACCGCATGTATAAGCACTCACCTCACCTTGTCCGCATTCGTCCAGGGCAAGGCAAGGCAGGGTCGCATGGTCAAAGACAGGGATGAACTACATCGGTCAACCGAGCATCCCGACAGCTAGCATCGAAGAGAAAAGGCGTCCCAGCCTCGCGGCGAAACAGCCCGTGACAGCGCGAACCTCAAAGACACAGGAAGACTTTGGTCTACCCAACATTGCTGACAGTCAAGAGCGTGAGGGGCTGCTGTCATTTTGCTGTGGCAAGAGAAACCTCCAGATCCATACAACAACGACCCCTCCTGTTTGACAGACTTCCTTTCCTTTCCGGCTACTGCGGCGTGGTTCGTGGGCTCGAAAGGCCTAGGCGCAAATCTGTTGCATGGTCGTGCCCGGTGTTCCCATACGAGGGAGGTCCTGGCGTCTCTGCACCCCAGCGCATCAACCTTACTTTTTGTTTCCGACACAAACTCGACACAAATCTATATAAGCTTGTTCCCGGACTCCTCATCCGACTGCGCTACCGAACAATGCCACCCTCAACGGCTTCTATTTATCGTGATATTGAGCCTGAAGTCGACTTGGAACCGAGATCTCAACCCGAAAACGGACCTGATTCCGACGCAACGGTTTACACCGTCCACAGGCGGCCCAATATGAGTTCCGAAACCCGCAAGAAGTTTATCAACTATCCTCTCCCGATTCCCGGGTAAGTTGTTCTGTACTCTGTAGGGCTGGTTGGTAATTGGTTGCTACCTCATTCATGATGCGCATATCGCCTCCAATACGCATACTCGAGGTCATGGAGTTCGTCACAATAGAATTTTGACTGACACAACTAGGCCGCCCATCCCATACAAGAATGTCAGGAAGAGCAATCCGCCTCTCCGAGGTTGGCTCTTGGTCATAGCGGCTTGGGCGTAAGTTCTCCGACGCAGTCACTCTTTCTCTTGTTCTCCCTCACAATCACTTACACCCATCAGGATGGAATGTCTATGGTTTATCAGGTCGTTCATCTGGAGCAACGCGGGCTTTGGAAGTCTGAGAAAGATTCGCAAGCATATTGAAGATGCCGAACCCCGATACGATCCAACCGTTCTGCCACTGCCAATGGACGAAGCCAAAGACCCGGCGGTTCTCCACCGTGAAAGCGCAGTCAAGGCGAAGCCACACCCCTTGAAATACTACTCCGTGAACGACTATCATGAGATGTACCTTTCAGGCGTAGTCACGCCACTTGCTGTAGCCCGCGCTATCCTCCCATTGATTCGGCGCGATACGAATCCACCCGGCGAGCACTCCATTGCGTGGTTTGATACCAAAGTCTCACAGGTTCTGGCTGCTGCCGAGGCATCTACCAAGCGATATAAGGAGGGGCGGTCCCTGGGTCCTTTAGACGGTGTGCCGACGGCAGTCAAAGATGAATACGAAATCGACGGTTACCGAACTTGCCTTGGGTCTAGGAACGACTACACGACCCCAGCGGCGCCGGGCCAGTCAATCACTAGCTGGTGTGTGAAGAAGTTGGAGGATGCTGGCGCTGTCGTGCTCGGAAAGCTGTCTATGCACGAATTTGGACTTGGTGAGCCTCTAGATTTCAAAGGCTGGGGTCCCTTGAGCTAACCCGGTGTAGATACGACTGGAAACAATCCCATCTACGGAACACCGCGAAATCCCTACAACCGTGGCTATTACACCGGTGGTAGCTCATCGGGAGCTGGTTATGCAGTTGCGACTGGTCTAGTCCCTGTGGCCCTCGGTAGCGACGGCGGCGGCAGTATTCGCATTCCCTCTTCCATGTGCGGCGTCTACGGTCTGAAGCCTACCCACGGTCGCATCTCTTTCCACCCGTGCCCGAATCACAGCAACAGCTGCGCTGTTAATGGCCCCATAGCCGCTGATATCGAGTCTCTGGCGACTTACTTTGAGACCATCGGTGCGCCGCACCCCGACTCTCAGTTCATCCAGGCATCTCCCTTTATCCTGTCACCCAGCGAGAAGCGCGGCAAGGTCCTCGGTATCCCCGAGGCGTGGTTTGCGCAGGCAGACCCGGCTATCCAGCGCATGTGCCGTACCATGATCGCGAAGCTCGTGACTCACCACGGATACGTCACCGTCCCCATCGACATTCCCTTCCTAGTCGAGGGCCAATTTGCCCACGCCATGACAGTCCTCACCGACGGCGCAACCCTCCTGCCGGAAACCAAGAACCTGACGCACGCGAACCGCATCCTCCTCGCCATCGGGCGCGTCACCTCTGCCATGGACTACCTCCTCGCACAGAAACTCCGCGGCCTCCTCATGCAGCACCTGGCCCATCTCTGGCGCATGTACCCGGGCATGATCATCGTCACGCCCACGACCTCGTGCGCGGGCTGGCCCATCATGAACGAGGGCGAGCTGACCCACGGCGTCAGCGACGGCGACCGCACCATCAGGTCGATGGAGTACGTCTGGATGGGCAACTTTTGCGGGCTCCCGGGCGTTACGGTGCCGGCGGGCTACGTGGTGCCGCATGACCAACTCGGCGCCGGCGGCGAGGCCGGGCCCGACACCGTCGGCAAAGTACCCATCGGACTCATGGGCATGGGCGAGTGGACGGACGAGCACAGCCTGCTCGAGTTTGGGCTCGATGCCGAGGAGTTGTTTGCGAAGGAGAGGTGCAGGCCGCCCAACTGGATCGACGTCATTCAGCGGGCCAAGGACGACATGGCTAAGAATGGGGAAGATAGCTTGATAGACCTTTAGAGTATGATATCCCCACAGATACGCACGAGAGCAATGCAAATCGATCAGGCTGCCTGGCAGATACAAGCTTAAGGAACCTGGCTTTACGCATGATGAATTAGCTCACTGGAAGCACCAGGGGCTTCTCATTCACACTTGGGAAAGGAGACTGAGCTGAGCTGAGCTCGAAAATCCGGGTCCTGCTTCGCTGTCAAGTGACATTCAAGCATTCGAGGCAGGGATACCCCATCTTCGTCCCCGGCACTGGATCAAAGCATTTGACGATCCTCCTCGCTGGCAGCACCCACTTCTTTGTGCAGATCAATGCGTTCATCGTCATATCATGAATGTCGGTGGAGAGAATAGAGGGGGAAGGACCCGAGCTAGCGGGACGACAGCAGGTCACTCTCAACGCTGGCGAATCCAAGACAGACCGAGGCAGGTTTGTTGTAGGTAAACCAGAGGCACTGACTTTTTGCATATTCATAGGTAAGACTCGTGGGCGATACCAAAAAAAGGCAATAAGCATTTTTGAGCCTGGTGTAGGTACGGACCGTATATTGAACCCAACTTAAGCTTTTTATCCTTCTCCGAGGGGGAAGTTGTCGCTTACACAGCCCCCCCTGTGCCCCCCCCCTGTGCCAAGATGATCGAACTCTGGTCTAGATCGCTAGATAATTGTACATCAGAATGTTCGCATCTTTTGTTGTTCTTAGTAGTTAACTTTCGAATTGGATGTTCATGCTCGGCAGGGCACGGGCGGCGGGAGACAGGAGAGTGGTATGCGTGAAGCACAGATGCATATGCGGCCGTTTTTTGGGTGGTGTCAGTGCGACCATATTGTTTTGATAGCCGGATGTTGCGGGTGTTAGATACGAGACTGTTGCATCTCTGGTCTTTTCTTTCAATTGTTTCCGTTTTGATAGCTGTATTTGATAGTGTGTTTGCGATCGTGTGTTTCGCAGAGGACAGGAAAGGAAGGAGGATGGATGTCTTCACGTAGTTGCTATCTGGCTTAGATGGTGAGGTTTGTATTACGCGATGAACGTTGTGGCCAGGCTACCAAAGGCTCTGAAGATTTGTAAAGTGTCAGTCAATAGCTGTTGTCATGTAATCCAGATGTATCTTCTCCAAGAAATTACGTTGAGAGACGATGGTTCCTTTATGTGAGAACGCTTGTTGATCAGGTCGTCTGCGTGGCGGCAACTCTCAGCCCTTCTAAGCGGTAGGTGATTAAGGAGACGGTGATTCTACCTACCTCATGTTTGTAGCGCTTGATTCAATATCCAGACACTCCGAGCCTGACCTCTTATGTGTTTTCAAACCTGACTGTGCGGAATCTAATTTATAGAGAGCTACGGGGCCTTCTCCTCGTATCACCTGGGAGGCCAAATCCATTCTGGCCCCTGCCTCAGGCATAAGACCTTAGACCATCCAAAAGGCGTCGAAATGACACGCCACCATGGTGCCAAGCATATACAAGCCCGAATACTCCAGCAGCACCCAGAGGCCGTATACAAAAGCCACGATGTTGCCCATCCCACCCCTTTACCCCTTCGCCCCTTCACTCTCCCCGCTCCACGTGACTGGCAAAACTTACACCACGCAACATTCAGCCCGGTTCCTGCCTTGAACTCTTCTATCCAGTACTTCGAGAATCTCTCATCCGCCACCAGTCACATATTTGGTCTGGTGGTTTGGAGAAATCCTAAGAAATACCTCGATCGTGGGGGGCGCAGGTTCAAAGCGGGCCTCTCAACTATATTTCATTTTTCTCACCCTTTCTCTTAGTACTTGACTCCCATCATTATTAATTCATCTTACTTATAGGTAGGATGTAAGTAGGATGTCAGTGGGACTGGGCTCTCGGTCATTCAAATAGCTATTATCTCTACTAAGCTTTCAAGTAAGAAGAAGTTTCCAGAGCACTCCTTCCTTTACTCGAAATACATACCTTCATATACAGACTTTCATCTAACTACCTTAGAGAAGCTCCTATATCACGGCCAGATCTTGCTCGAGATCATTTTGATAAGAATGTCTGTCTACTCAAGGTATACTGGCTTTATGACGACTGAGATGTACAATTAATTCCCCCTGGCTCGTAGATTAAATGATGCAGAGAATGGCGGATAAGGTGCTCATCGATGTATCACCGTAATCTACGCTCCGGGCATGATAAATTCAACAACGGGCCCTTTTCTTTTCTGCTTCGCTAGAATTATGTTTGTAAATATTCTCGTTGGTCTGTTTCCCTTTGTAGACTCCGACCTAACCGCAATTGAGAACCACGACCTCATCCCTCAATTTGTTATCGACGACAAAACGGAAACGTCTACTAGGACCGTCTCAGCCTTAAACCCCAAGGGGCCCCACCCCGGTCTGAATGCGACGCCAGTTAGCTGTTAGCCGCACGCGATCTGCTCTAGGCTACCTCAGACCATGTACTCCGTAAGCACAGCTCTGACGTAGGTACTAGGTATTCATGACCTCGCGGCATCTTCAGCACTGATGCAGGTTCTAGCGCCGAACGAGCTGCAAAGTGCACATTGCAGCGCACGCAGAAAACGAAGCGGCTCAGACAAAGTGTCACAAGCACGACGAGGTAAGGTACGGACAGACTGACAGACATCTGCTGCAGGACCGTTAAAACTTCCCGGGCCATGGCAGGTGTGTTACGGCAGACGACGATGTTAAGCCGGAATCGCATTGCTCGTCCCTGAGGTTGACCGCAGCCGAAGCCGGGCTTCTGGGACGGACATACGGCATCTTTTCCCCAGGAAACCGATCCCGATAGGTTGCGATGGGAAAAGATACCTTTTTCGGGAACCGAAAGCACGAGTTGTTGAAAATTCCCCGTCCTCCCGTCCTCCGTCATGAGGTCTGCGACGTTTCCCAACAAAATGCAGGAAAGCCAACTGGTTGAGGTGAGGGGTCAGGTCGCCTTGGAGGTACCAGACGGCAGAGAGATAATTAGCTGGCCTGTTTACTCCAAATTCGCCTCTCTTGACGTAAGGTAGCGTCCCCAGCTTCTGGTTTTCTTCATCCTGCCAGGTCTTGTGCCACTGTACGCCCTGAGCTTTCCTTATTAGTCGGTTGTCTGCAGCTCAGCTCCCCCCGCATTCTGGCGCTGAATAAATCAACTTAGCCTCACGATCTACTCTTTGCACGGATATCAATTGGAACTGGGCACACCAGACACCCCCGTTGTACCGCGGCTAGAGAATCGTACGTTGGTATAAGTAGACGTTTTCTATTTCTTTGGCCGGTTGCAGAGCAGCAGAGCGTATACCAAAGCATCAAGAAGAAAGGCGTAGTCGAAAGTGGAATTATCGCACTGAAAGAAAAAAGAAGAGGGGCGTCTGGGGATATTAGACTGGATGATATCGCGGGCTTGGCCGACTTAGTGGGGAACCACCCCCGGCCTCCACAGGCGCATACCTTACTATTCCCCCTGCTGCCCTGCTCTCTCTTTCGCCCGGGCTCTCCAGAAATACATCCCTCCCAATTTTTTGGTCACCTCACACCTCGCAGTCATTGTCAGCTACTTTCTTCTCCCACACTGCGTCGCCAGTCGCACCACCATCAGAGCAGGCGCGCTTTACCAGTTCTTCAAACACTACTCTACTCCGTCGTTCGCTTTCCCCCATCACCAAATTTATCTGGCAACTCGTGAATGCCAGCTCACGAAACCGAAGCTCTCTCCGCCCAAGGTAGCGCTCTTATCGCTACTGCCGCCCTGCTGCACCCGAAGGTTCCACACCACACACCACCACCGAGGATGAAAGTCTAAGGGAGTGGCGCAATAGTTGGCGAGATTTTCACCAAGAGACGTTTCTCACCTCACCTCATTCAAAATACTTCTTCCTACTCTGATATCGCATACCGAGTCTCGTCGCCATGCCAGACCACGCTGGAACGGCGGTCGCCGCGCCGCCACAGAGCGGCTCCAACCCGACCCCTCCCAAGGAGCTATACCCCATGGTCAACTGGAAGTATGACCTCTTCCTCTGGGTTTTGGGCGTGCTGGTCGACCTCTTCTTCCGCGAGGTTCACCCCCGTGGCTCCTGGAAAGTCCCCAAGTCGGGTCCCGTTCTCTTCGTCGCCGCTCCTCACGCCAACCAGGTCAGTTTCTCTCTTTTTTTCTTCTTCACCCCCCCTTGTCGAAGCAACCCCCCTGTCATTGTCACATGCTAACGCCTGCAATCTCTGCACGCAGTTTGTCGATGCTCTCATCCTCCAACGTACCCTCCGACACGAGGCCGGTCGTCGAGTCTCCCTCCTCATTGCGCAAAAGTCTGTCCATGGCTTCATCGGCTGGGGTTCGCGTCAGGTCGGCTCCGTCCCTGTCGGACGCGCCCAGGACGCTGCCAAGCCCGGCGCCGGCGTCATCTATCTGCCCGACCCCATCAACGATCCTACACTTATCCGCGGCGTTGGCACCAAATTTGGCCAAGGAGAGGGTGAGGTACACGGTATGCTGTTCTTGCCCTCTGCCAAGAAGCAGACCGGCGCCAGCATCGACATTGCACAGATTATCGGACCCGAGGAAATTCGCATAAAGCGCCCGTTCAAGGGCAGGCTGCCGCTCGAGCAGCTTACCGGACGCGACGACATTGATGAGAATGGCAACTACACCAACAAGGAGCTTAAGGGATGCAGTCCCGGCTTCAAGGGAACCAAGTACAAGCTCGCTCCGCACATTGATCAGACCAAGGTGTACGAGGCCGTCTTTGACCGTCTGAGGTCAGGTGGCTGCGTAGGCATCTTCCCCGAGGGAGGTAGCCATGACCGCACTGAGCTGCTTCCCCTGAAGGCCGGCGTTGCCATCATGGCACTCGGCGCCCTCGCCGAATCTCCCGACTGTGGTCTGACGATCGTACCCGTCGGCATGAACTATTTCCACGCCCACAAGTTCCGCAGTCGCGCCGTCGTCGAGTTCGGTCCTCCCTTCGAAGTCCCCCGGCACTTGGTCGAGATGTACAAGAACAACCAAAGACGCGAGGCCATCGGCCAGCTTCTCGACAGCGTCTACCAGGCTCTGAGTGCCGTCACCGTCTCCACCCCCGACTACGATACCCTGATGATGCTTCAAGCTGCTCGACGTCTGTACAACCCCACCGGGAAGAAGCTGCCCCTGCCTGTTGTCATTGAGCTCAACCGCAGGCTCGCCATGGGCTACGAAAAGTACAAGGATGACGCTCGGGTCGTCCATGTGATTAAGTCTGTCAAGCAGTACAACAAGGAGCTGCGCTACGTCAACCTTCGTGACCACCAGGTCCAGTACGGCAAGATGTCCATCCCCAAGGTCATCTTCCTGTTGTTCTACCGCGTTGCCAAGCTCCTTGTTCTACTTATTGGCGTACTGCCTGGTCTCATTCTTTTCGCCCCTGTTTTCGCCGCATCCAAGGCCATTAGTGTTCGTAAGGCGAAGCAGGCTTTGGCTGGCTCGACTGTAAAGGTTCAGGGACGCGATGTTATGGCTACATGGAAACTTTTGGTCGCCATCTTCCTCGCCCCGACTCTGTACCACTTTTACTCGGCCATCGTCACTTACAAGGTCTGGCAGGACCATCTCTGGGGCTACGTTCCTGAGTGGGTGCCGTGGTGGACGACATACTTGGTCATGTGGCCCCTCATGGTGGGTATCACGTTTGCTGCACTGCGGTTTGGCGAAGTTGGCATGGACATCTTCAAGTCTTTGAGGCCCCTGGTCCTCTGTCTGAACCCTGCCTCGAGCTACAACATCCAGCAGCTACGTGCGAAGCGTGTAGACCTTAGCTCCCAGGTTACAGATCTTATCAACACGCTTGGACCCGAGATGTTCCCCGACTTTGAAAAGACCCGCCTAGTGGCAGACCCGTACAAGGCCGACGGATACTCCCGACCGCGCACACCGCCGGCGCGCCGCGATAGCGACGCATCCAGCGCCTACGACGCCGCGACGCCGCCGTCCATCTCGAGAAGACAAACCCAGCAGTCGAGCCGTGCGATGCCCCGCAACGAATCGTACAGCAACATTGGCGGCGTCGGCATCTTTTCTACGCGACCGCCTTCCCGGTCGAGGAGTCGGAGCAGCAGCAGCGGAGGCGGCCTCGGGTCCGGCGGGTTTCATATCAGCGGGTTCACGACTCTGGACTCTGCGGGTGGGTTTGATGAGGCTAGCAAAAAGATTCGCGAGGCGATGAAGCTTCGCCGGAGAAAGAGCGGGGATCACAAGATGGAGCTGGGCGCGGACGAGAGCGAGGATGAGGAGTACAACGAGGCGCGCAAGAAGAACACATGATGTCACGGAACAGACGCCAAAGCAACAGACGCAATAGGCTTTGAAAGAGAGAGAGAGGAAAAGCGACAGTTGAAGTTGTGAAGACGGGGGTTGGGCGCAAGATGATTCCAATCAAAGAGTAGGTACCTACCGTACGGTACGTATAGACAGCGTTTTAATAATTTCAATATGGATTCCCATTTTTTGTGTTTTTGCGAATCAGCGCCGGCCCAATTACTGCATACGACCTTACCTTACCTCACAGAGTAAGGAGAGTGTGTGTGACTGTAAGGACGCTTCGCCCGACGTTTGGACGTTGGAGTGGATTCGCGGGACTGGGGCAAATGCGCAGCCAATTACGGCGATTACAATGTTGACCGCCGCATCCGTTATCTCCGTCCGGCCGGTACGGATTAAGGTACGGTGTGGGAGGCCGCAGGATCTGATAACTCAAAAGGTCCCCCCTCCCCTCCCCTCCCATTCCCCCCCTCCACGGTGACGCTAGGTATTCGAGACAAACTTCGCACGCGTGGCTTTTTGTCGAACCGGCTATTCCGTGCCGCTGCCGGCCGGAGTTTTCAGGACTTGACTGCATATTGTCCGCGGATCTGTGCTCTTGCGCAAGGCCGAGCGAGGAGGTGAATCTCGGTGATACGAGCAACCGCTGGGGAAGCAAGCAAATCATTGCGTCCCTTTTGTAGGGTTACAATATTTTACATTGATAAGGACGCGCGCGGGACTGGGACTGGGGAATATAATAACTCCAGCAAAGGGTGGGTGTCTTGTTGGTCAGCTTTGACATTTTGGTTTTAACAAGAGACTGTATTGGTTCAGTTTTCGGTCCACGGAGCTTGCGGCGCGCCGGTTGAGTGTTCCCGTCCTTAATCCCACCTTTTCACCCCCCATACATTCCATTCCCAATTCTTGTCCATCTCGTCATCGTTTCCCACACCTTTCCTAGGTCCGAGAAAAAAAAAAAAGGAGCCAAACCCCAAATACCCCACATCCCGCCACCTTTCCGACGGGTGGGCCGAACGACTCTACTCAGTGTGTGCCTTTCCTTTCCGAACCGGTCTTCAGCCCTTTAGTTGTAGAGCTTGCCCCTCTACTCCGTACAACTTCCACCCCTCCAAAGTTACAATCCTCTACGTTTTCTTTCTTTCTCTATTTCTACTACGGAGTGGGAGAGTCGCATTCTTATTTCGCCATTGCTTATTCACGATCGTTTGGGGGAGCAAACACAAAAAGGCAACCATGACGTCCGCATTCAAGTCCTTCGTCACCGGCGCCAAAAAGTTCGCCCTGGGCACCGCCCATGGCGTATCGGCCCTCGAGCTGTTCCCCAAGACGGACCCGGCCGTCGACGGCGAGGAATGCGAGCACGACTGCGAGAGCTGCCACGTGAAATACCCCAAGGGCTTCAAGATTGACGAGGCCGACGAGCTGTACGGCATGGTCAAGGGGTGGAGCACGCACGCGCTCGTGGCGACGGGGAAGAGCGATTGGGTAAGAGACGTGGCGGACGAGAAGGGGAGCGTGATGGAGGCTATTGGGAGGGCTGCGGCGCCGAGTAATGGGGTAAGCACAGCTTTTGGAAAGAAGAAGAGTGAAAGGGAGATATTTGCTGACTAGGATTCAACAAACAGAAACTCATGCTCTCGGCCTCCAACATCCCGACACCGAATCACTCGAGCGACTACACCGAACCCACGACGGTCCTCCTGCTCCCAGCCTTTGTCATCATCGACCACGTCACCCCCAAGAGCGTGCCCGAGCTCATTACCGAATTCGTAGACAAGGCGCCGACAAACACCTCCCCGCTCGCGCCGCTCGCCCTTCCCAACTCCGTCCCCGTAGCATCAACAAACGGCAACGGCACCACCGACGCGAGCGCGGCCGCACCGAGTAGCATACCCCCCGAAATATCCCGCCGCCCCTGCCCGCACAGCGCGCTGATCCTCCTCTGCTCGCAAAAGACGCGCGACGCCCGCTGCGGACAGTCTGCGCCGTTGCTGCGCAAGGAGCTGGAGCGCCATCTCCGGCCCCTGGGGCTCTTCCGGGATATGGACGACGAGAGGCCCGGCGGGGTGGGGATTTATTTCATTTCGCACGTCGGTGGGCACAAGTACAGCGCCAACGTGATGGTGTATCGCCGGCCCGACGCCTTTGGGCTGGATGATGTGGAGCGCGTCAAGGAGGAGGGGGAGTTGGTGCCCAAGGCGAGGACGGCGGTGCCGGAGACGGAGGATGTGGGTGCTGCGCAGTGTATCTGGCTTGCGCGGATCAAGCCCGAGGATTGTGAGAATTTGGTAAAGTATACGATTTTGCAGGGCAAGGTTGTGAAGCCTGAGACGCAGCTGAGGGGTGGGTTTGACAGGGCCAAGGGGATGATGAGTTGGTGAAGTGTGTTCGCTTTGCGGTTTTTTTTGTCGTTCTTGTTTCCTTTCTTAGAGACGAGTTTGGGCGCATCCGTGGGGGATTATGATCAGGGCCATTGGGATACAGGTCTGGGGGGCGGGGGGCGTTGGAGGATACGGCACATAGAGGAGGACCGGCAGACGGTACTTGATAAACAAGAGCTTTCAATAGATGAAAGAGTTTGAGCTTTGCAGAACGGGGTGCGAGTGCCAATATACCTATTTATCATACTTACAGCCTTATGAGAGGATTCGAGATCTGGACCATGGAACAGGAGAATATCTAGAAATAAGCCAGCTGCCTAGACGATGTTGAGGTGACCAACTTGAAATTACACAACCAAAAGTAAATAGTGTCTTCCTTAGACGGTGTTTGGAATTGCACAATTAGATGCGGCCTCTCGTTCAACAAATGAGGTAAACCGTGGCTGTTGCACTGCAAACCGAGTCTCCGCACAATGACCGAGTCCCGTCGACCGGCGTGAGGCTCCACTTCTACCGGCCCGCCCCGCACACTCCAAAAAAGGCCAGTGACGAGACTGGCAGACCCCCCCGAGCTGCAGGCGCGTTACCTTAGGCTGGGCCGATAAGATACGAGGGGAGCAGCGCAACGGGGAACAGACCCGCCCGCCATGGTCTCCCAGACAACAACGCTAGCGTAAACAATCCCCACGACCGCTCCTTCGTGGGTGCCCAGTACTACCGCCCTTCAGCTCACCGACACGACCATCCCATCCAGTCCCATCCAGTCACGTCCCAATCCCCCAAATCAATCTTTCTTATTGCACAACGACGACCAGAAACAGAAAAACAATTGCAATCTCGGGACGTAGCCTGGCTTTGAGCCATCTCCCCTCCCCAGCTTTGCATTTGCCGCCTTCTTTTTTTTTCGTCGTCACCCATTCTCCCAAACATGGTGTGAGCAGGAAGAGACACAATTCCGTATAGCTGTCGGGATTCCTCTCGCCTTTATTCACATCCACCAAGCATTGGAATTACATCACCCGCCCACCCCCCGTTATTTTGGCTGTCTCTTCTTCATTCTTCATCAAGCAAGCTTCAGCTTTCCCGCCCAGCATTCCACACGAAGGAGGGGGGATAGCATTGTTTTCCCGTCCATCCATACCAGCAACAACCCTGTCTCGAACTGTGTTGTTTCCCGCCCCCATTTTCCCTCTCCTCGACAATGGGCTCCGCCGCCGAAGGAGATAACAATGGAGGAGGCCGCCCCAGGTCCTCGGTCCTCAAGAGCTTCATCCACCGCCGTAACCAGTCCGAGGGCTCTGCGCTCTTCACCTCGCCGCCCTCCGTCCAGGTCACCACCACGCCCGCACAACACATCTCGGCCGCCTACGCACAGCTCGAGGGCAGGATGCCGCCCCCTCCTCCTCCCATCCGCACCGAAGGTCTGGGGGCTCTCGGCGAGCTGAACAATCACTCGTCGCCCCGCAAACAACAACAAGCAGCAGCAGACAGCAACCGAAACCGATCGCGCTCGCCGACCAAATCCGCCTTTAGCAACATGTCCTTCAAGTCGTTGGCCAAGGAGGCCCGAAAATCACGCGACGTGTCCCCCGAGAAACCCAAGAAGACGAAATCGAGCACGAACCTGGCGGGCTTCCTGTCTCGACCCCGATCGACCATATCCCTGAACAAGACCACGAAGGAGGAGGAGGAGCGACGCCAGGCTAAGGACAAGGAGAACCGCACACCCCCGAGCTCGACGTCGAGCGCCGACATGACGAGTGGTCCGGCGCCGCCCATTTACGCACAATTCTGCAGTCAGGACCTCGGGAGTAACGGCTTGCGTGGGAAGGCGTCTTTCGACGCGGGTAGTGGACGTTATGGAAGCGACGCCTCGAGCGACCTATCCAAAAAGCAGAGACCCAAGTCATACCACCCTTCCACCGCCATCTCCGAGCACAAATCTACATCAGACCTACGCAGCAGGCCAAAGATGGACGGCCGCGAACCGTCTGCTTCGGAGAGAATCAAAAGCAAGGTCCAACGCCCCAAGCTCTTTACGGCCTTTTCCGCCGCCGGGTCTAGCACGAAGTCCAAGGCGTCGGATTCCGCCGACAAACCCATCGATCCCAAAGCGATCGACCAGCACCTCGAGGCCATGCTCGATCGGCGCAACATCCCCGAGAACCAGCGCTACAAGATGCGCAGCCTGGCAGACACAATCAAGATGGAGTTCATCCGACAGGACTGGGCGGAAATGGCAGCCAAAGAGCAGGCGGGCGTCGCTGACACCACTACCGAGCCTATTTCTGCGGCGACTGGAGGCTCTGATAAAGAGGAGACACAATCCAAGCGTTCCCGCGGGAGGAGCTTCACGTTGTCGCGGAAAAAGGACCCCAAGGAGCCCGCGTCCCCGACGAAAAAGTCAAAGGGCGAGAATACCTCCATCGGCCGTCACTTCCGGAGCAAGTCTACCGAGAGCGTGGTGAGCGAGCGGCCTGTTTCGGCGAGCTCGACGGGGAGCAACGGCATTCTTTCTAAGATCAAGTTCGGCCAGGGACCGGGCGACTATGTTTCGTATTTGCGCAAAGTGCAGAAGCCGGAGCTGGTTGAGGTTGGGAAGCTGCACAAGCTACGGCTGCTTCTGCGTAACGAGACGGTCTCATGGACTGAGGACTTTATCAAGCAGGGCGGCATGCAGGAGATTGTCGGCCTCTTGAAACGCATTCTCGCTATTGAGTGGAGGTAAGTTGTGATTTTCTCTCAGGGCAGCGAAGTGCAAATGCTAACGAAGAACAGAGAGGAACACGACGATGCCCTTCTCCACGAAAATTTACTTTGCTTAAAGGCTTTGTGTACCACAGCGCTGGCCTTGCAATATCTCCACTCCATTCATGAGGACTTGTTTCCCAAGCTCCTCCATATGCTGTTCGACCCTGAGAAGAAGGGTCCCAGCGAGTTTACTACACGCAACATAATCACGTCAGTGTTATTTACATACATTGAGTCGGCCACGCCCATGGAGCGCATTGCCCGCGCGCAAAAGGTGCTCTCCTTCCTGCGCAACCCCCAACCCAAGGAAGAGGAGAGGCCGCTCGGCTTCGTGCTGGAGATGCGGAAAGACCGGCCGTACACGGTGTGGAACAAGGAGGTTGTCAGCGTCACCAAGGAGGTCTTTTGGATCTTCCTACACCACCTCAACGTCATTGCCCTGCCGTCCGAGATGTCGACCAAGGGTGGCGCGCCGCTCGGCACAATCACCAACGGCGCCGCCGCGTCTTCCTTTCAAGACCCGCACGCCTTTATGCACCGGCACTTCCCCTCGGAGCGGCCCCCCGTACCGGCTGCTCCCTACGTTGGCGGCGTGGAGTGGGACGCGACGAACTACCTCGCCTCGCACCTGGACCTCATGAACGCCATCATCGCCTGCACGCCGACGGCGGCGCAGCGCAACAACCTGCGCAACGATCTCCGGATTTCCGGGTGGGAAAAGGTGCTGGGCGGCAGTCTGCGGCTGTGCAAGGAGAAGTTTTACGGCTGCGTGCACGAGGCGCTGCGATGCTGGGTCGCGGCGGCGACGGAGGACGGGTGGGATTCGAGGGACGTACGGTACGGGCCGCCGCCCGAGTCGCGGAGCGCGAGCCCGAAGAAGACGCAGAAGGCGCAGAAGCCTGTTGACGCGCCGCCCAAGATTGAGATTCCGAAATTGGATTTTGGGCTTGATAACCATCGTGTTACGCCCGTTAAGGAGAGGGACGTTTGGCTGTCATGAGCCACATGAGCATCCATGAGCTTGTGGAAAGACGAGAACCATTGTACATCAATTGCTACGGGAACGGGTCGAGAGAACAGGATGGGGGAAGTTTCCAGCGGGCTTTAGACGTAGCACGCGTCGAGATGGTTTGGGACTTCCCTCAGTATCAGTATCCCACACACACACACACACACATAGACCCTTGGAGATTGTCAACGTAGGCGAGGGCGGAAGTGGAAAGAACACGATGGAAATGAAGGCGAAGGTGGAGGAAGAAGACGAGAGGAGGTTCGCGGAAGCTCTGGGGGGCGCTGTCTTATTTCCTTGTGGGCCTTTTTCTACTATTTTTCCTTTTTCGGGGTTTGGATCTCTGGGAGAGGAGGAGTTGTGTTTTTGTTCTTTTATTTCTTTTAAGTGTGGTTTTCCTTCCTTGCATGGGGATGGGATCACAAGGGGACGGCGGGGAGAGTGAGAGGGATGGAAGATGTGAGAGGAGAGAGGGGGTGAGAGAGGGAGGGGGGGGAGAGAAGTTGTTCTGGGTATACATGCACACACGCACAAACAGAGTGAGAATGAGAGAGACGAGGGGGGAGAGAGAGGGGGAGACACATCATGCTGCCTAATGCTTCTTATGAAGGGCAACGTTTATGAATTGATGATCATCATACATAGAAAAAGCCATTATTTTCTTGTGCTGTAGCCTGTCCGTTCGTTTTTTTTTTCTCTCTTTTTTTCTTCTTCTATTAATGAGGGAATAAGGGAAAAGACGGGAATGAAAAAAGGAATCGAAGCAAATGTTTCTGATTATGCCATCCTCGCCTCCATCTCTCTTTCTATCCGTGTTTATTGTACGATTGACCCAGAAAAACAAGTCTTGAGAGATTGTTTTTCCATGTGCCTGCCCATCCGGCAAGTAGGACGTCAGATAAGGTAAGGTAAGGTAAGGTAAAAGTAAGACAAGTAGGTGATTTCCTCCCGTCCTTTTACTAGATAGATTACTCCTAGGCGAATACTTATTTCCCGGGTCTTGTGGGGTTTTCCAAATATTTTAACAGCCCCTTTGAGAGAAAACATACCCCTAGACGAATCGTATTATTTACAAATCGGTAGTATGACAAGATTTTGAGCCTTCTTCGATAAGATTCCATCCCCGCTCCGTGAGAGGGGAGAGAGAAAAAAAAGAAAAGCTGACCTGTGAAATTTGAATTCTGACAGAAGCCTGGTCGAGCTTGAACTCGTCGTTAGAAGAGGTACCTAAGTATCCGTG